CGAATGCAGCAGGGATCCTGAGGACGCCTATGATTTGGCATTGGCTTCATTCCGCGCGAGCCATCGCGTCCTGTCAGCTCCATCAAGGACTATATCTATATATAGAATATGCTTCGTTACGAGTGGCATCCTGTTGAAACCCTTGCCACACCCACTAGACTCTCTGGATCTGGGGCCTGTTCTTTCCCGATTGAAATCCGAAAGAAGCCATCGTCAATTCCAACGCGAACCCTTTCCATCTCTAATATTCATAATTTCTGGTGGCCTACTCGAATGCAAAACAAGTCTCAAGGCTATGGGGTCTACCCCAATCCTTGTACAATCATGTGCTGCTGCTTTGAAGCCCAATCGCCATCCTCTAGATCTGGGATCTGCTATACTTCGATTCGGACGTCATTGCAATTCTACTGAAATCCAGTCGGAATATTTTGCCCTGGGATCCTCTCCGTTTCTGATGAATACAATTTCGTTCCGGTTGGAATGCAATCGAAACCATTCTCTCACACCCTCCATCTCCCTCAATCTCGCTCTCTCTCTCTCTCTCTTTGTCTCTCTCTCTCTGTCTCTGTCTCTGTCTCTGTCTCTGTCTCTGTCTCTGTCTCTGTCTCTCTCTCTCTCTCTCTCTCCTTTCCAAAAACAACACCAACACGGGCCAGACAGTTGTACGGAGGAGGAGGGGGAAGAGAAGGAGCGCCTCCTCCTCTTTGCCTTCGTGCTCCTCCACCTCCTCCTCCTCCTCCTCCTCATCCTCGTCTTTCTCTTCCTCCCCGTCCTCGTCCTCGTCCTCCTCGTCCTCCTGTGGGCCGTGTCCTCGTCGCCACCACTGGGGTCGCCTCGAGATCCTGACCATAACGCGCTCCAGGAGAGGTCTGACGGCAGATCTGCGCAGGGTGATCCCCCTCTCTCTTCTTTCTCGTTTGCCTTTTTTTCCTTTTCTTTTTTTCTGTGCTTTTCTGTCGAGGCGCAGAAAGCAACGCCGCCGGCCACGATCAGGATGACTCGAACCGGGAGGGGCGAGGGGCAGGGGCAGCGGTGGCTGCTTTGTTTGCCCTACAGCTCTTCCTGTCCCCCAGTAGTAGACGCTCTCTTCCCCCGTCCCAGGAGGAGGAGGAGGAGGAGGAGGACGAGGAGGAGGACGACGACGCCGACTGGTGTTGGAGGGACAGGCGGCCAGGGAAAAGAGGGGACGGGCAGGGGAAGATGAGGGATGAGGAGAGGAAGGAGGGGGAAGTCAGGAGGGCAGGAGGTGTCTGCAGAGGCACGCACACATACGTAAGACATGCGTATCCACATGTTTCAACGTATCCACGCACGAGCACACAGCACACGCAGCGGCTGCATCTTTCAAGCCTCGCGTGCTCGACGGCGCTTGCCAGATGCTGCGAGGCACTCGCGCAGTAGCGCTTATTGCACGTAGCAGAATAAAACGAGGCCGAGAGTACTATGATGTGACGAAGTGCGTATGTGTGCGTACATATAGATATATGTATGTTTATATGTGCGTGGGTGTGTATGTATGTCTGTCTGTCTGTCTGTCTGTCTGCCTGTCCGTCCGTCCGTCCGTCCGTCCGTCCGTCCGTCCGTCCGTCCGTAAGTAAGTAAGTAAGTATGTATGTATGTATGTATGTATGTATGTATATATATATATATATATATATATATATATAAAAGTCTACGTGTGTGTGTGTGGGGGGGATTCGCAACTTCCTTGACCGTGCCCCGCTTGCCCGCCGTCGGCTTCCTCCCCTCCTCCTGCTTTCCCCGCTTTTGCCCCGTCCCTGCTTCCCCTCCTGCGCGTCCCCGCGCCTCTCGTCCGCTCTCGCCGCCCCGGCCGCGCCTCTCCTGGCCCCGCCTCTCCACTCCGCTCGCTCTGCTCTGCCGGCCCGTCTCTGACTACCGCCGTCACCGCCGTGGTGCTGCGCACAGGGCTGCCGACGGAAACGTGCGTGTGCGCGCGCGCGCGCGCGCGTGTGTGTGTGTGTGTGTGTGTGTGTGTGTGTGTGCGCGTGTGCGCGCGCGCGTGTGTGTGGTTGCCAGGTCAGCTCGCCCGCCGCTGCTGCCTCCTTTTGCTGTCCTGCGTGCCGCCCGCGCGGCCTTCTGCCGCCGCTGGCGCACAGCACGCTGCCGCACCAGCGGCGCGGGCAGACAACGAGTGGTGTTCAGCCGGGCCTGTCCCCCTCCAGGCGGAGTTTGGGCGACAAATAAAAATACGCAAGGAATGCCCTCCGAATGGGCAAAAATAGTAAAACAACATCGCCCCCGACTATTTCTGGACTACTTTTGAATATTCCTCCTGTAGAGGCGCAGGCCCGACCTAAGACAACGACTGGCACCACTGCGTGCAGCGAGCCAAAAACCTGCGCGAATTCTTTGGAGTCCCGAAACGGTGCGGTGACGGACCCTGCGGTGACCTCGAAATCCCCCAAGGCCTCACCCCACGGTCCGTCACCGCACGGTCTTGGGACCTCGGATGCCCCGGTCACCGGAGACGTCCTCGGAGAACGACCCGAGTCCCAAAACCGTGCGGTGACCCCGAATCCCCACCGACTCACCGCACGGTGTGGTCACCACTCCGTTTGGGGGCCCCCGAAATCCGTCGAGCGGGCCTGTGCGACACACGATCGCGAGGCACGGCGGGCCCTCTCCGGACTTCGGCCGGAGAGGGGGCCCGGGCCGTGCAGGCTGCGCCCCCGCCGGGGCCGACCGCTGCACCGTCGGCACATAGGGTTAAGTCGGGCGTGTCTCCCTACAGGGGGGTCCTCGACGAAAAATAAAAAATACTCGAAACATATTCCAAAATGCTCAAAAAAACGCCAAAAAATAATCCCCAGACTATTTCCCAACCATCCTGTGGTGTTGGGTCCTCGTCTTGAAGAGACAGCGCCCCGCGTCACCTCCTCGTCCTCCCGCTGCCCCTCTCCCCTCCTCTCATCAGCGGCCCCGCGCCATTTTGGCGCACCCCTCACGCGGTTCGTGGCCCCATAGGCAGCTCCACCGAAGGCCCCAGTGGCAGGGTTCGCATGGCGGCCCCGCGCCATTTTGGCGCACCCCTCACACGGTTCGTGGCCCCATAGGGAGCTCCACCGAAGGCCCCAGTGGCAGGGTTCGCATGGCGGCCCCGCGCCATTTTGGCGCACCCCTCACGCGGTTCGTGGCCCCATAGGCAGCTCCACCGAAGGCCCCAGTGGAAGGGTTCGCATGGCGGCCCCGCGCCATTTTGGCGCACCCCTCACACGGTTCGTGGCCCCATAGGAAGCTCCACCGAAGGCCCCAGTGGCAGGGTTCGCATGGCGGCCCCGCGCCATTTTGGCGCACCCCTCACACGGTTCGTGGCCCCATAGGGAGCTCCACCGAAGGCCCCAGTGGCAGGGTTCGCATGGCGGCCCCGCGCCATTTTGGCGCACCCCTCACACGTTCGTGGCCCCACAGGGAGCTCCACCGAAGGCCCCAGTGGCAGGGTTCGCATGGCGGCCCCGCGCCATTTTGGCGCACCCCTCACACGGTTCGTGGCCCATAGGGAGCTCCACCGAAGGCCCCAGTGGCAGGGTTCGCATGGCGGCCCCGCGCCATTTTGGCGCACCCCTCACACGGTTCGTGGCCCCATAGGGAGCTCCACCGAAGGCCCCAGTGGCAGGGTTCGCATGGCGGCCCCGCCCCATTTTGGCGCACCCCTCACACGGTTCGTGGCCCCATAGGGAGCTCCACCGAAGGCCCCAGTGGCAGGGTTCGCATGGCGGCCCCGCCCCATTTTGGCGCACCCCTCACACGGTTCGTGGCCCCATAGGGAGCTCCACCGAAGGCCCCAGTGGCAGGGTTCGCATGGCGGCCCCGCGCCATTTTGGCGCACCCCTCACACGGTTCGTGGCCCCATAGGGAGCTCCACCGAAGGCCCCAGTGGCAGGGTTCGCATGGCGGCCCCGCGCCATTTTGGCGCACCCCTCACACGGTTCGTGGCTCCATAGGAAGCTCCACCGAAGGCCCCAGTGGCAGGGTTCGCATGGCGCCCCCCCTCCATTTTGGCGCACCCCTCACACGGTTCGTGGCTCCATAGGGAGCTCCACCGAAGGCCCCAGTGGCAGGGTTCGCTTGGAGGCCCCCCTCCATTTTGGCGCACCCCTCACACGGTTCGTGGCGCCATAGGGAGCTCCACCGAATGCCCCAATGGCAGGGTTCGTTCGCATGGCGGCCCCGCGCCATTTTGAGCACCCCTCACACGGTTCGTGACCCCACAAGCAGCTCCACCGAAGACCCCAGTGGCAGGGTTCGCATGGCGGCCCCGCGCCATTTTGGCGCACCCCTCACACGGTTCGTGGCCCCACAAGCAGCTCCACCGAAGGCCCCAGTGGCAGGGTTCGCATGGCGGCCCCGCGCCATTTTGGCGCACCCCTCACACGGTTCGTGGCCCCATAGGGAGCTTCACCGAAGGCCTCAGTGGCAGGCTTCATTTTGGCGCACCCCTCACACGGTTCGTGGCCCCATAGGGAGGTCCACCGAAGGCCTCAATGGCAGGGTTCGCATGGCGGCCCCGCGCCATTTTGGCGCACCCCTCACACGGTTCGTGGCGCCATAGGGAGCTCCACCGAAGGCCCCAGTGGCAGGGTTCGCATGGCGGCCCCGCGCCATTTTGGCGCACCCCTCACACGGTTCGAGGCCCCATTGGGAATTCCTGTTGCTTCGTCCCCCTGCCTTGCGGTTCTCACACTTGCGTATGGTTGAGTCTTTCGCCAGGGTAATTTCTTACTATTTTTGAATATCCCCCCTGTAGAGGGACAGGCCCGACTTAAACAGAGGGCAGATCTTGCCAGAGGAGGCCCGAAGGGCACAGCCCCTTGCCATCGCTCGGGCGTCCATTCCCCGTGCACTTTTCGGTGCCGTGCGTGCCTTTTCCGGCTCGATGATCAAGGATGCTCCTCGATGGCCCCCGCCGAGAGACGCATGCACACGTCCGAGCGATGCCAAGGCCTTCGGAACTCGTTGGCAGGCCGTTGGCAAGCCAGTCGCTGATCTGGTGTGCCTACTGTATCAGCAGAGGCTCCCAAGGGGGGGAGGGGGCGGCGCAGGTGGGACTGCAGCGACCTGGCATCGCCAAAATCTCGAGTCGGACGACGCGAAACAGCTTGGCGGCGCGCACAAGGGGGTGGAGGGAGGGGGGGGGGCTTCTTAGAAGGAGGCTGCTTCTTAGAAGGCGCCGGCCTTACATCTACAGATGAGGCCCGCGCCTTCGAAGAAGCAGGGGTGCTTCGAAGAAGCCCTCCCCCCTCCCCCCACCCCCCTCTGCGAGTGGCCGAACAGCTTACGTGGCTGGTTCCCCGGCGCCAGAAGCGCCAACATATCGAGGAAGGCGCCGGGCCGAAGCCGGCTGCGTGCAGCAGATTTCGCACCCTCCCCCAAGCATCTGATGCCGTGATTTTTCAGTGCGCGGTCCCCGGTCGCTTTTTTTCAGTCCCAGTGCCCGGTAGGGGCCCCTGGAAGCCGAACATGGCACAAACCTCCCGTCTCGCCATCGCTCGGACGTCCATTCCCTGTGTTTTTTGTCGGTTTCGTGCGCGGTTCTTTCGCCAAATGATCCAGGATGCTCCTCGATGGCCCTCGCCGAAGGAAAAATGCACACGTCCGAGCGATGCCAAGCCGTCGTAACTCCCCCCCTTCCGTCTGACCCGACCACCCTAAATCACCCGACCAACTCCGCGCCCCGTGCTGCGCGCAAGGCGCGGTGTCGTCCTCGCGCTCCCGCGCGGCCCCCTGGAGAAGGAGACACCTCACGGCCCGGCCAGTCGACGCGCCTGCGTCCGGGCACTCTTGCTGCGCGCGTCGCGGCGGCGGCCCCGCCGATGCGCTGAGCTCTGCGAACTGGCAGCGTGCCGCTCCGCTCCGCGCGCGGGAGGCCGGCAGAAGCTTGGGGCGCTGATGCTCGGGGCCTGGGACGCAGTTCGCGTGTCGCGCCGAAGCGTGGTGGGCTAGAGTTAGGTCGGGCCTGTCCCCCTACAAGGCGGATCTTGGCAGAAAAACTAACAATACCCCAACAATACTCCCAGAAGGCTAGAATCTAGTCAAAAAATGCCCCCCGACTATTTTTTTGACTATTTCTGAACATTCCCCCTGTGGAGAGACGGGTCCGAAGCGTGGTGGGCTAGAGCTGGCGGCGCGACACTCCGAGCACCAGCTCCGGACCACACCTCCGCGGCACTGCGGGCGCCCTGGCCGGTGCCTCTCGACCGCCGGAGAGGCCACGCGCCCGAGGCACACTGCGGGTGCATCCGCCGTGCCCAGCCACACAGAGGAGGAGGAGGAGGAGGAGGAGGAGGAGGAGGAGGAGGAGGAGGGAGAGGAGGAGGAGGAGGAGGAGGAGGAGGGAGGGAGGAGGAGGAGGAGGAGGAGGAGGAGGAGGAGGAGGAGGAGGGGAGGAGGAGGAGGAGAGGAGGAGGAGGAGGAGGAGGAGGAGGAGAGGAGGAGGAGGAGGAGGGGGAGGAGGAGGAGGAGGAGGGAGGAGGAGGAGGAGGAGGAGGAGGAGGAGGCCGAGCGCGGGAAAGACGCCTGGCAGCACGTGGGATCCACTTCTCGTCCAGGCCGGGCGCGTCCTGCGGACCGCTCCCGCAGCCCCGCATGATGAGGTTCCAACCGACTTTAGCCTGAGCCACCAGAAAGAATGTCGAGCACCAAGGCAGCACCCAAAAACTCGAGGGCTTTCACGTGTCGGGCCCTGGGAGACACTCGTCCGACACTGTTTCGACACTCTTTCGACACTCTTTTGACACTTTCCGGGTGCACGAAATCATGTCTGGGATGTGGTCCTTAAGTACGATGGGGGCAACATAAACCCCGCAGCCTAACATGCTGAGGTCTCCCTGTTGCGTCCGCCGCCTTCCGCCCGCCTGCGCCGGCGCACCCGCCGCCGGTTTGCCTCCGCCAGTTCCCGCCTGCCCTCCGCCGAGGGCGAGGCTCGATGCAGGCAAGGGTCCTTCCAGCAACGCGCCATGCGTGCCCGGCCTCCTGGTTCGCTTCCAATGGCACAGGTTTGGGCGCCCGAAATGGGCACGGAAATAATGGGTACAATGCCCAACAACATATGTTGCCCCAATCCAACAGCGGCCACTGTTGGGCAGGCGGCCTCCTGTCTCAAATGGACACAGGCCGCGGCGGCGCGGACAGCGAGTCCTGTTCAAAACGAACAGGAACTGCTGTTGGGCATTGTGCCCATTCTTTCCGTACCCATTTCGTTCGTGCAGAATAGGAACTAGAGGAACAAACACCGGCATAAGCATCCAGCTTCGGAGGGCTGCGCGGATTTCTTGCATCGGCGCTTGGCCCCACTCCCTGGCGCTCGGGGCGCGCCAGGGGCGGCGCTGGAGGCGCCGCCAGGGGACCAAACGCAGATCCGAGCAATCCGCGCGGAGCTCCGAACATGTACGCTCATGATCTCAATTCTTCTTCGAAGAATGGGTCATATCGGGTCGATGTCTCACCCCGAAGCCCCCCGGCCCTCCAACCCTCGAGGCCGCTGCTGCTGTCACGGCACTGCCCTGTCTAGTGCGCGCGAATTCGCCTGCCATCTTTGTGGCAGCAACGGGCCGCCAAGGATAGGAGGAATAGGTGGGAGGAGATGGAATGAGGGGGAAGGTGTGGAGCAATCTATGCTGTGCGATGAATTGCAATGTGTGTGTGTGTGTGTGTATAAATATGTTACAATCGTAAGCGATCTATGCTGTGCAACTTGTGTGGTGCAGTTTGCGTGGTGCAATCTATGTTGTGCAGCTTATGTGATGCAGTATATGTGGTGCAATTCACCCTGCACAACTTTAAATTGTCGATTCCACTGCTCGCGAAATTATCCCACCCACCCACCCGCAACTTGGTTTACAAAACCCATGCGGCGGCGATTGCGATGACTGCTCCGCGCTGGCTGGCGCATCGCCGCGGCCGCGCTAACGCGCATGCTCGCGCGCAAAGCGGCAAGCTAGTTTGGCGCGACCGACGCGGCCGCGGTAGCGCTGACCGCTGGGCACTTCCCAACGGGCACTTCAGTGCGAGTCGGCGACTTGGGCGGGCGCGGTATCATGGCAACGTCGACAACGGTAGACACGGTGATGATAGTAGCGATGCTGATCGCGCCGGGGGCGAAGGGCTTCCTCGCGTCGGTGAGGAAGGTTTTGGAAGGAATTCGACATGCCCGCGCGGCTGACGCGCGAGTGGCCCGCACTGTTTTATTTGACACGGATCGTGCCCCACCAGCACGCGCTCACGGGCGTTCCAAGGATTTCGACATGCAGCGCGGGAGGCTCGCTAGGTCAAGTTTCGTGCGCATGTTGAAGAACCGATGGTTTTCTTAAGAATTCACAAGAGCGCGAGCGCAGTTTCTTTGGTTTTGGTGTGGCATTTTTTGTTGCGTAGCCATGTGGTTTTGTATGTTTTCGGGACGCTCGATTTTGAAACCCTTGTGAAACCTCAGGCTTTTGACGGGCTCGGGTATGCGTGCGCGACGACGCTCGCGTGTGCACTTCGTCCCGTTGTTTGCAAGGGTTCTTGCGACAGCACGCGCGCAAGGACGTTCGGGCTATTTCGACATGCGCGCGAGAGGCCTGCTTGGTAGCATGTTATGAACATGTTGACACCCTACGGTTTTCTTGAGAATTCGCAAGGCCCCCACGCAGGCTTGCTTTCGGAAGTTCTTCTTGGGAAGCCAAGTTTTTAACATGTTTTCAGGGTGCTCCATTTTGAGATCCTTACGACACCGAAGGTTTTTAAAAGGATTTCGGCACGCGCGCACGGCGACGCGCGCGTGTGCACTTCGTCCCATCTTTTTGCAATGGGGCTCCTGGAAACTGATGATTCTTGATAAACGAGTGCGCGCGCCTAGTAGCCTCTGCAGAGGATGGGGGGGGGGTATCAGTTTAGCTGGGAAGATACGAGCTCAGACTTAAGATTAACGATGAGGCACCATCAAATTTAAATTGCAATGCGAAAAAGGGTCCCGTGAATTCTGGGGGGGGGGGGGGGGTAGATCCAAACAGTCTTTAAGCAAAGAAATTCTCTGCTGTGCAATCTATTATGTGCTATTCGTGCGGTGCAACCCACGTGGTGCAATCTATGTTGTGCAAAATTTGTGGTGCAATACAGGTGGTGAATGTGCTACAAAATATGTGGTGCAATCTATGTTATCCAATCTATGTTGTGCAACCTTTGCTGCGCAATACTTGTGGAACAAACCATGTGGTACAAGATATGTGGTGTGATATCTGTGTTGCAAGAGATGTTGTGCAATTGATGTTGTGCAATGTATGTCGGGGCGGCGACGGCGACAACATACCCACCAAACTGACAAACACGCCCAAATACGGGCGGCGACGGCGGCAGCATAACCGTCAGACCGACAGACAGGCCCAGACGACGACCAGCGACGAGGCGGCGACGGGGCGGCGACAGCGGCAACAACGCCGCCAGACAAAGACACGGCCCAGACGACGGGCGGCGAAGAGGCGGCGACGGGGCGGCGACGGCGGCCACATTGTTGCCAGACCGAAGACACGGCCCAGCTCCTTAGAAAAGAAATAATAACCCCTGAGTGCAAACATTGTCTGGGGATTTTCCTCCCTGTGTCATCGCCAGGCGTGTTGGTAGGGCGGGCCGGGCGCTCAGCTTGAGACCTCCTAACCGCAATCCCTTCTCCTTATGAACAACTCGTCCCTGTCGCACCCAGGCGTGTAGGTAGGGTGGCCTGGGCGTTTCGCCTGAGACTTCCTCCCCATTTGTGATCCTGAACTTCTGCACATGTAACAGTTTCATGGATGCAGGGCGGGTGGTTTTCAAACTGTGGCTCTCGCCTGAGCGCCGCACGCATTCGTCTTCAACATGTGCAGCAGCTTCGCGGATGGAGGGCGGGTGGTTTTCAACACGCGGCCCTCGCCTTAGCGCCGCGCACTTTCGTCTTCAAAGTTCGCAGCAGTTTCACGGATGGAGGGCGGATGGTTTTCAACATGTGGCTCTCGCCTCAGCGCCGCGCGCATTCGTCTTCAAAGTTCGCAGCAGTTTCACGAATAGAGGGCGGGTGGTTTTCAACTTGTGGCTCTCGCGTTAGCGCCGCGCACATTCGTTCTCAACGTTTGCAACAGTTTGAAGGATTTGTATGGTGGGTGTCGCAGAAATCTTGTTCTGTCACGACTGAGGATTGCCAGTGCGCAACAATCAGGTGGATTTGCAGTGTTCGAGTCCCAAGAACTTTCCTGGCACCATCTAAGACAATCAAGACGCGACAGTCACCTTGATCCGCGGCGTTGAAGCCCAAGAATGGTGCTTGGACGTACTTGAGGATTCTCAGACGGTTGTCTTCTGACTTGCCACTTCCCGCAATGACAACAATGACTAGTAGGACCTGTTCGGACGGAACTTGGAGGAAGGGTGTATTGCAACATCGTTAATGCGTCTTGGGTTTGCACTGATCCTTTTCGTCGTCGTCGTCCTCCTCCTCCTCCTCTTCCTGGATGTCTCAGGCGAATCAAGCCGGTTCACCTTGCGCACGGCACCTAGGAACTCAGAATTGCGAGGATGCCTCAGGCAGAACGGGCAGGTGTACCTCGCGCGCGCCACAACGGAGCCCAGAATTGCGAGGATGCCTTAGGCGGATCCTGTCGATCCCATCTTCGGCCACTTTTCAGAACCATGTGTACATACAAGCTGCTTGCTAGGGAATGTGCTGTACATTTTACATGCCATCTGACATATGGCTATGTAGGATGTCGACTGGCTAGACATGCGTCATGTCATCATGGGCGAAACTTTGGAGGCCAAGGGGGGCGAGAATAATGAGGATGAAGATGAGGAGGACGAGACTTGGAACATGAAAAGGACGACGAGGAGAAGAAGGATAAGAACGGAGCAGGAAGATCATGGAGAGGAGAAACATGATGGAGACGAACACGATGTGGGAACTCAGGAACTTGCTATGAGGGAGAAAGGTCCTCAAAGAAACGAATCCTCGATACCCCAGGTGCTTCCTCCACTTCAGAACCGGCTCTTCATTCTGAGTGTTTTTTTTTCTCGAAGGCCAGGGACTGGGAAGGGCCCTGCGATCCCGAAAACTCTACACAATTTCGGGACCCCGTTCTCCTGAGGACCCCTCTACCTCGAGGTGAGAGTGGGGATGAGAACGGAGGAGAATGGAGAGAAGAACGAGGGGGGTGACGACCTGGAGGTCGACGAGGTGTAACACAATGAGGTGGAAGAAAAGCAAGCCCACACATCCGACGTCGTTTTGTTTGTTTTTCACAGCGTGGTTCCCGACGGATCAGAACTCCTTCCTGGGAGCTGTTCTTTTGATCCTAGGCCGTTCTTTGACAACCCCGGGGCACGGTATAATTGAGGCCGCCAGAAGCCGAACACGGCCCAAACCCTCTCGTCGTGCTATTTTGGGTGGTAGCGGCGCGGGGGCAGAGGGAGGAAGAGGAGAGGAGAAGTGTGATGCATGAGGGGCAAAGGTAAGCGGGGGACTGGCTCGGAGGGGGAAGCATCGACCTGTCATCGGCGATGCGTCGCCGATAGATCGGCGACAGGCCCCCGGTGGGGAATCCGCACTTCCCGCAATGACAACAATTTCTAGTAGGACCTGTTCGGAGGGAACTTGGAGGAAGGGTGTATTGCAACATCGTTGATGCGTCTTGGGTTTGCGCTGGTCCTCTTCGTCGTCGTCGTCCTCCTCCTCCTCCTCCTCCTCTTCCTGGATGTCTCAGGCGAATATCAGGCCGGTTCACCTTGCGCACGGCACCTGGGAACTCTCCTGGGCGGAACGGGGGGGCGCTATCAGGCCCCTAGTGGGGACGCATGGGCGATGGAGGGCCGATGCGTCCCCCGCCCCCCCCCCCAAGCCCGACACCCCCCAGCGTTGCCCACTGGTTTCGGGCCACAGCTCGCGCTCGGCTCTCTGGCGGCCGTTCAAGGAGATCTGGGCCCCCCCCGGAACGCTCTCGGCGAGGCTCAGCTGCTGGAGAGCTCCCCGGAGCTGGAAAGCCCCCGAGAACAGAGGGAAACGTTCGAATACCTCGAACCTCGAAGCTTCGATCAGGGGTCGAATATCGACAGATGGACCGCTGCTGAGGTGCGTCATGATCAGAATTTCGAGGCGGATCCAGCCGTGGCCACGAGGGTGCTCAAAAAGTCTCCCGAAAGCGACGTCCCCGCTGACGTCCGAAAACCTATCCCCCCCTTAGCGTTGCCTCTGAAGTGAATCCGAAGACGTGGTGATGGTGAAGGACTCGGGGCCCCAAAACCGTGCTGTGACGCACCACGCGGTGACCTCGGAACCCCCAACGACCTCACCGCGCGGTCCGTCACCGCAGGCTTTTGGGCACCCTGGAGGCAGCGGTCGCCCGAGACGTCCTCGGAAAACGATCAGAGACTCCCAAAGCGGTGCGGTGACCCCGAGTCCCCCACCGTCTCACCAAACCCGCCCTCCTCCGAGTGTTTGGCTACCGGGCCATCACTCGGGTCTCCGGCGGCCGTGCGGGACGAGCTGGGAACCCCCGGGGACGCCCTCGGCGAGGCACGGCTGCTGGGACGCACCCCGAGGCACGAAAACCTCCACGAACCGAAGGAAACAGCCAGAGCCCCCCAGAAAACCGTCCAGTGACCTCGCCATCGCTCGGACGTCCATTCCCCTGTGTTTTTTTTCGGCTTCGTGCGTGGTTTTTTCGCCAAATGATGAAGGATGCTCCTCGATGGTCCTCGCCGAAGGAAAAATGCACACGTCCGAGCGATGCCAAGTGACTAAGACGAAGCCAGGACGAGGATAACTTCGGGTGTGGACATCAATCGGTGATCTCTGAGGCCCTGCGGCTTTAGAGTCGGGGAAGGACAGACCCTTCTTTAGTAAAACGTGGTTTAGTGAAAACGACCTGAAGCCCAAACCTGGCGGGCGCAAGCCTGGAAAATAACGGCCACGGCGCCCTCTCGAGAACCGAAAACGGACAATTCACTAATCGACGTGTCACTGTTAGGGGGTTCTGTCCACCCCCGACAGAGGACGTCCTGGGCGCCGCGGCCGTCGCGGAGCGCTCCGGAACGCTCCGAGAGCGGTCCCGAACGCCCTGGAGCGGACTTGTCCTCGTGCTAGCCTTAAGTTGGGCGTGTCCCCCTACAGGGGGAGTCTCGGCGAAAAGTGAAAATCACTTCAACCAAGTCTCCAAAATGCTCAAACACATGCTCAAAAAACAGTCCCCAGACTACTTGTTCCTATTTTTGAATATTCCCCCTGTAGAGGGACGGGCCCGAGTCCTGGGGAATGGGTCGAGACTTCTGGGGAACCCGCATTGGAAAAAACACGACATCGAATCTCTGGGGAGGGGGTCAGGGGGAGCAGGGGAAGGCTTCTCAGAAGCACCCCTGCCTCGTAGAACGCGCGGGCCTTGTCCGTAGATGCAGGGCCCGCGCCTTCTGAGAAGCAGCCTCCCTCTGAGAAGCCTTCCCCCCCCAACCCCCTCGTGCCCGCCCGAGCGGCCCCGAGTCCGCACGGCCTCACCACGCCGTGTGGCCCCCTCGCCCGGGAGCGGGCCCTCGACGGGCGCGCCCGCGCGCGGGGGAGGGGGGCGCCGTCTCGCCGCGCGGCCGGGCGGCCCCCGGCGGCGGGCCCCCCTAGGAGCCCCGCGGCTCTCTGGAGGAGGCCCGGCGGGCCGCCGGCGGCGGGCCGTCGGCGGCGGCGCGGTCGCGCGGCTCCCGGGCGGCCGCCTGTGCAGAGGTCCCGTCCCGTGGGCTCAGAGCCGCGGGCTCGGGGCTGCGCGGAGGAGCCTGGAGCCTTCACCCTGGGAGGGGCTCGTGGGGGGCAGGGTCTGGGAGAGGCCGTGTGGAGTACAAGAGTTGCGCCACAAACGTTCGGGGTTGCGCACGTCCTCGATCCCAGACCCCCTCGGGTCATGAAAAAAGCACGGTGGGAGGATTTCGACTACTTTCGGCCTCTGGGGGGCCCTCGCTAAGCCTCGTGACCGTCAAACAACTGCTCAGGATGAAAAGCCGGCCCCGAAGATCGGGTCGAGACCTCTGGGGGTCCACGTCATAACAAAAATCATGACGTCGGGGGTCTGGGTATGTAGATGGGGTCGGAGGACCGGGGCGCACCGTCGATGCACAGGCAATGCATCTGCGACGTCTGCGATACATCGGCGACGTCGTCGTGGAGAACATCGGGCTCGACATCGAGCCGCATCGCCTGTACATGGCCGACTCTGTGGGAGCGCGCTGGCCGTCCCTGAGATTTGTGCGTTGCACTGTTTTCACACCAGGCGTTCTCGCCCGGTGTCGGGCCCCAGGACCATCACAGATCGATCCGGCGCGAAGAATGCCGCAGGAAGATAAGGTGCCCAGCCGTGATTTTGCCGCGCTGTGGGGCCCAGACCCCCTGGTAACGCGGCCAAAACCGCGACGGGATTTGGGGGGCCACTTTCGGGCCCCAGGACTGTCCAAGCACGTCTTGGGCATGCTGCAGAGCCGACGGGGTCCAGGCCTCCAGGGGCCTCGCACTGAGAAGCTCGAGACGTCGGATGTCTTGGGCTGTGCGCCTGCACCGATATTGGCCAGGCTCCTCCTGGGGCCTGCATCATGAGCGTGCGCGTCCTGGCGCGGCCACAGGGCGCATGCAGCGATCTTGGGCTTCCGGATGGTCCGTCCAGGGTCGGTGGTATTGGGGGGGAAAGCAACCGGTGCGTGCGAAAAGAAATCTTGCCTCGTGATGTATGCCGCTATTTCTTCTTCGCTTTCGAAGCCCTGGGATGTAATTAGTTGCGCAGAGGATTCGGACATCAGAGCCTATCTGCTCAAGGGCGAATGCCATGCGAATTTTGAAAACAAGCCGGCTCCAATCAAGAACGCACGACTGTGTGTAATTCAGCAGCTGCGGCTGCCATGTAACGCTCTAGCGTGTACGAAATGGTAAAAACAAAGGAAGCACTGGGGCAGATCTCTCGCCGAACGGAGCCCAGAAATTTTCTGGTGACATCATTCCCTCCTCTTCTGCGCCTCCTCCTCCTCCTTCCTCCCTGCTCCCTCCTTCATCCTCCATCCTCCCTCCTCCGTCCTCCTCCTTCTCCTCCTTCTCCTTCTCCTCCTCCCTCCTCCCTTCCCTCCTCCCCTTTCCCCCTGGTTTCCCAAACATCATCCAAAATGATCTGTTCCCATGCGCGGCCCCAGAGGCCCCGATCCCTTCCCTGGTGCTATGGCTCGTCCCGGATTCACTTTTGGGGGCCTCGGGGCCCGACAACGGGTCCCTGGAGCCGAGAGCGGGGAAACCACCCAGATGGAGTCTGGCGCGGGTGTGCGTGTTGCAGTTGGCGCCCCCCGCGCCAGGGCGTCGAGGAAGTCGGAGATCCTCGAGCAGGCGTCGAGCTGCGCCTTGCCGACCAGCAACAACTGGGAGAGCTGTGCTCCTGAACGCACTGTATCGACGACCTCTCGAGAGGGGTGTCGAAGGCGACGGGACCTTTCTCACCTGACCCGACCACACCGTGTTTAAAAAAAACGGCACCCCAGAAAATGGGCCTCAGGCAAGCGGCACGGCTAAATCCAAAAAACGCGCGACAGACGCAATGACAACGGAAACGGAAAGAAAACGGGCAGGCGGGCCACGGGCCGATGCCTCATCTGAAAACGTAGCAGAAGAGGCGCCCCGAACATACGAACAACGCCGATCTCCAAAGCGGGCAAAGGGCGCCCCCTCAACGTTCGTAATCAAATATCTGAGGCAACGAACCCAGACATGCGATGCCATGACTCGGGATCGGCTCCGCAGATCGGTCCTGCGAGCCCGATGACTGGTGTGCCTGCCCGATCCGTGGACCTGGTGCTGCCCGATGTCATGACACCCTTGTTCTACGCGGTCCCCGGAAAACCCGACCCCTTCCCCAGGGCCGGTCTTCTTCACCCCGTGCCGACCCTTGACGGTCCCCCGATGCCCAGCGCGAGGGCCCCCGAGGGCCGAAGCAGGGGCCACAATCCTCCTGCCGTGATCTCTGCACTCCTCCTCTTCCTCCTCCTCCTCCTCCTCCTCTTCCTGATCCTCCTCCTCCCCCTCCTCCTGCTCCTCCTCCTCCTCCTCCTCCTCCGCCTCCTCCCACTCCTCCTCCTCCTCCTCCTCCTCCTCCTCCTCCTCCTCCTCCTCCTCTTCCTGATCCTCCTCCTCCTCCTCCTCCTCCTCCTCGCCCTCTGGGAGCACAGCTCCCCCAGGCCGTGGCTGGCCGGCCTCGCGCTGGCCGCGCGCCCAGCCGCCCGCGAAGCTGCGCCCGGTGACCGGCACCTGCGGGCCGGCCACGGGAGTCCGCGGCCCACGGCGACGACGACGACGGCGACGGCGACGGCGGCGACGGCGACGGCGACGACGACGGCGACGACGACTACAGCCGGGGCGCTGACCGAAGGAACCCAAAAGAAGGAACGAGGCCCCTTTTTTCCATAAGTTAAGCTTCGATTTCCGATCGAAAGCATAAGGAAAACCTGAGGCAAGCTGCGAAACACTTAAGGGACGCGGAGCCCCTCCCCAACCAAAAGGGTTCCTTTTTCAGGGCCCCGACTGTAGATCGAGGAATTCGACGACGGGGATCACCCACCGCCGCCCAACACGCTTCTCACAGCGAGGGACCCCCAGAAACCCCCGGACCTCCAACGTGCCAACGATGAAACGAAGGCAACGATATCGGCGGTGGACAAACCTCCCTTTAGTAAACCTCCCCTTAGCGAAAGCGGCCTGGGACCGAAACCGACGGACCTGGACCCGCAAAAATGACGGCCGCGACGCCCTCTCGCGAACCGAAAACGGCCAATTCCTTAATCGACGTGTCAGGGTAGGAGGTCTGTCCACCTCCGACAATAGCCAAACACAGTGGACAAGTCACAGCGAGGGCGCCCGAACGGCCTTGCTGCATCCCCGGGCGCGCGTGGCGGTTGTGGGGCCGCCTTCGCTTGACGGAGGGTCCCTGGCGGAGGGTCCTGGGCGAGGGGTCCCAGGCGAAAGCTCTCTGCGCCGCCGCGCCTTCGCGCTTGTCTGCAAGTGCGGGGGTGCTGCACAGTGAAAACAGCACAAGCCAAACCTGTGGGATACTGTTCCAAGACCGATGCCGCGACTTCTCGTATAATCCATGAGATTACGTTCGTTCTGTACGGATTCCGTGATTTTTCTTGGACTCCTGAATTTCTTTGGATTCCGTGACTTTTCGTGGGTTCCATTGGGGTGCATGGATTCTGGGGATTCCGTGACTCGAGACCCTCTGGTCAGAGGAAGGCTACTGATACTGGTGCCCTTTCCTCGTCGCCACGGCTGGATTCGCCTCGACATCCTCGTCACAACGCGCCCCGGGAGAAATCCACGGAATAGCAACATCGTTTTAACCGGACCCTCCTCGAACCGTGAACAAAACCACGGCGATACCTTTTCGACAATTTTCGGTCTCTGGGGGCCCTCGCCAGGCCGCGGCCGTCCAAAAAACAACCCGGGGTGCAGAGCCGGTCCCAGAGGAAGTGATGGGCCTGTTTTCCACCATTACCACCTCCACCATCAGTTGGAGGGGGGAAGGAGGTGGAGGACGAGGACGAGGAGGAGGACGAAGAGGAGGAGGACGAAGAGGAGGAGGAGGAGGAGGAGGAGGAGGAGGAGGAGGAGGAGGAGGAGGAGGAGAGGGGAGGAGGAGGAGGAGGAGGAGGAGGAGGAGGGAGGAGGAGGAGGAGGAGGAGGAGGAGGAGGAGGAGGTTGAGGAGGAGCAGGAGGAGGAGGACTCCCTCCCCCTCCAACTTATGGTGGTGGTGGTGGTGGAGGTGGAAGACAGGCCTATCAGGAAGGGTCGAGACCTCCGGGGGTCCGTGCTGTGAGGGGAAGCAGCGAGGTCGGGGGCCCGGCCGGGCGACGAGGGCGCACGCGGGCGGGACGCCCGGGCCGTCGGGGCGAGGGCGGGCGAGAAGGGAGTGAGGCCGCTGCCGCAAGAGGACACGGGCCGAGCCTGGGGAGGGGGGGGGGGGTCGCGGAGCGCAAAATGGGATGGGGGGAGGGGGGAGGGCCTTCTTAGAATGAGGCTGCTTCTTAGAAGGCGCGGGCCTGACATCTACAGATAAGGCTCGCGCCTTCTAAGAAGCAGGGATGCTTCTGAGAAGCCCTCCCCCCTCCACAATTACTCAATATGAATACTACTCTCCCTCTTCCCCTGATGGCGTGCTGGGAGTGGCCGACCCCCCCCCGCGTACTTTTTTTCACACAGGGATTCCCGGGAGTTGGGTTTTCGCCTGCGTTTTTTTTTTTTTTTTTTTTTTTTTTTTTTTTTTTTTTTTTTTTTTTTTTTTTTTTTTTTTTTTTTTTTTATATTAGATATTATTATTATAATAATAATAATTATTATTATTATTATTTATATATATATAACAAAAAATGATGCTCTCGCTGAGGCGCCGGCCTCATTTCTGCTCCCGAATCGTTCCGAATCGTGCTCCCGCTGCAGCGTGGGCCTCATTTTCGGATCGGTGTTTTGCCTCCGTCGTTCAGGATGGCGTTCTCGCCCCAGCGCGGGCCTCTTTCTCGCGCGCCCATCCGCCCGCCACCACCGCGCCGCACCACGCCCCGCCCCGCCGCACGCACACCCACCGCCACTTCCACCCACCAACGCACGCACGCACGCACGCGCACCACCACCGCGCACCGCCACCACCACCGCACTGCCCCACCCACCACCACCACGCTACACCGCGTCACACCACATCACACGCGCGCACACACAGACACACACGCACGCACGCACACACACAAATACACACGCACACACACACACACGCACACGCACAGACACACACACACACACACACACCACCACCGCCACCACCACCACCGCCGCCATCACACACGTACGCGCCTGGCCCACCACCAAACCACCAAGACGCCACACCACGTCACACCACAGCACACGCGCACACACGCACACACACACATACACACCACCACCACAACAACCACAACCACGCACACACGCACGCACGCACGCGCACCACCACCCACTACGCACACGCACGCGGAGCCACAGGTCCGCTACGACACGCGTCCGCGGATAGAGAAAATCAGCGCCATGGTAAGGGATGGGAGGGAGGGGTAGGATGTCAGATGTTGACGCGAGCGCACCTAACTTGCCCCACCCCCCTCTGCGCGTGGCTGAGTGGGGGGGGCGGGAGAGAAGGGCCAACCCCGCGACGAGGATACAGACTCGGGCGTGGCCTGACCGACAGCTGGCAAGCCATCGCCTTCCGTGGCGCCACTCTGGCCTTTCGAGCTCTCCCTCTTGCCGCGCGCACACGGCTTGGGGCGAGGCGAGGGGGACGTCACGGAGGGGGATGGTTTCTCGCCATCGCTCGGACGTCCATTTCCTGTGTTTTTTTCGGTTTCGTGTGTGGTTTTTTCGCCAAATGATCAAGGATGCTCCTCGATGGCCCTCGCTGAAAGAAAAATGCACACGTCCGAGCGATGCCAAGGACACCAGATGAACAACCGTCATGGGTATGAACTGTCGACAGTCCGCGCGGTCCTTCGAAGGTCTATGCCGCTCTTTTCCACTTCGAGGAGGGGGGGAGCGATCCACCAACCCAGACGTTCGACGCCTTGACTTTCTCAACGCGGGGTCCTCAGAGGTCCCGGCCCTGTCCCCAGGGCCGGCTCTTCATTCCGAGTCGTTTCTGGCAGTCCTGGGGCCTGGCGACGGTCTCCTGAAGCCCAACATGTGCTAAAACTTCCGCGGTGAGTTTCTCGAGACGTTGGAGGTCTGGGAATGCGTCCCTCTGCGTCTGCATTGGAGGAGGGTCCGGGAGGGTGGGGGTTAAACCTTCGCCCCTCGACTCTCGGCCCCGCCGGCCCAGGCTGGGTCGACCTGATCGGCCCTGCAGATTGGCTCCTCCTCCACCTTTCCCCTTTTCCCCTCCCTCCTCCTCCTCTCCTCCTCCTCCTCCTCCTCCTCCTCCTCCTCCTCCTCTTCCTCCTTGTCCCTCCTCCGTCTCCTCCTGCTCCTCTCCTCCTCCTGCCAGGCGGGATGAAGAGGAGGAGGAGGTGGAGGAGGAGGGGGAAGAGGAGGAGGAGGAGAAGGAGGAGGAAGAGGAGGGGGGAGGAGGAGGAGAGGAGGAGGAGGAGGAGGAGGAGGAGGAGGAGGAGGAGGGAGGAGGAGGAGGAGGAGGAGGAGGAGGGAGGAGGGAGGAGGAAGGACGAGGACGAGGAGGAGGGAGGAGGAGGAGGAGGAGGAGGAGGAGGAGGAGGAGGACGAGGAGGAGGAGGAGGAGGAGGAGGAGGAGGAGGAGGAGGAGGAGGGGGAGGAGGAGGAGCAGGAGGGAGGAGGAGGAGGAGGAGGAGGATAGGGAGTGAGGCAGGCCCTGCCCCCATCCCCACTCCCTATCACTCCCTCTCCTCCAGCGTCCTCCTTCTCCGCTTCCTCCTCGGCCTCCCACCCTTTCCATGGAGCGCTCTGGCCGGGGATGCAGTGCGCTCCGTCACCGCAGTGTGGCCTGTCGTCAAGTAATTCGGCATTGGGAGGAGGAGGAGGAGGAGGAGGAGGAGGAGGAGGAGGAGGAGGGGGAGGAGGAGGAGGAGGAGGGACACCATAGATGGTTGCAGAGTGAAGCAGCCATGACGATGCAGAGCCGAGCGGCCACACCGAAGGGGAAGGATCACGGCAAGCGGGCGTGCGGGAAACAGGGGAAGGATCACGGCAAGCGGGCGTGCGGGAAACATGGTGGATCTACTGACCCGGGTCCATCAAACCGGGGTCAATCGGGCTCTGCAGGATCCTGCAAAGCTCCCGCAGGATCCTGCACCCAAACCCGGGTCAGTGCACCCCTGGCCCTGCAGGGTCCTGCCGGATTCGACGCTCTGGCTGACCCCTGGTTTGCATCGACCCCCGTACCTTGAGCCCCGAGGAAACAGCGGTACGGGTACTCCGGCGGCTCTCGACGGACGCCCGCCTGTGTCTTCGGGTGCTGCCAGAAGTGCCCCTGGGCCAGGGTGCCCCCAGGATTCTCGGGGCAGCCGAACCGGCCTCCAAAGCACCCCTCACGAGGCCCAGAGGGCCCCAGGGGCTCCAATATGGAGCGGCAAGCTGGGGGCACCTTGGGCCAGGGGTGCTTCTAGCAACACCCGATGCGTTGACATCGCCCCGCCGCTCTGACCGGAGCGGGAGCCGAGCGGAGGGGCGCCGCGGGAGGCCTCCGCCGTGGCGCGGTAGAGCGGGGGCCACAGCCCGTCCGCCTCGTCGCGCTCGTAGGTCCAGTGCCACACGCTCCTGCTGGAGGGGGGGGACTCCTCCTCCTCCTCCTCCTCCTCCTCCTCCTCCTCCTCCTCCTCCTCCTCCTCCTCCTCCTCCTCCTCCTCCTCCTCCTCCTCCCCCCTCCTCCCTCCTCCTCTCCTCCTCCCTCTCCTCCTCCTCTCCTCCTCCTCCTCCTCCTCCTCCTCCTCCTCTCCTCCTCCTCTCCCTCCTCCTCCTCTCCCTCTCCCTCATCCTCCCTCCCTCCTAGGTGGAGGGGCGGAGGATCGCGCCGCATCGCCGATACATCGGCGATGCATCGGCGATGCATCGGCGATGCGGCGCGATCCTCCGACCCCATCTACTCCGACCCCATCTGGGAGGCCTGGAGGAAAGCAAATACCAAATTCTCTTGAGCTGCTGTGTTCTAGAGCCCGGAGCCCTTTGCTTTCGTCGTCGTTCGTTCGTTCGCATGTCGCCCTCCTCCGGGGCCTCCCTGCCCCTGCTTCCTCATGATGGTCAGGATGGCCCCAGGAGAACACCAGGATGGCCCCAAGACCCCCCCCCTTCTCACCCCGTCCCGCCTGGCCCTCGCACTTCCTCGTGCAAGAGCCAAGACATACGCGACACTTGTTCGATGTTCGCATCTCTTCTCCCAACGATGTCCTTGGCTCGTGTTAGAACATGACAGTCTGTGTGCGTGTGGATGAGTCTGGTAAGGAACGACCGGGTATGAGTTGCTCCGGGTGTGAGCGGGTATGGGTATGAGAGGGTCAGAGTGTTGAGCCTGGGTTCGAGTAAGAGTGACCCTGCGTAATACTGCCTGGGTATGAATGGATATGATAACAAGTGGGTCGGACTATGCTACCAGATGAGTGGCTGGGTATGCATGGGTCTGCGTCGGGCTGGGTATGAGAGAGTGTGAGTGTGAGTGAGTCTGAGTATGAGCGGCTGAGTATGGGTAAATCTGCGAGGTAGCGAAGTCGTGATTCTGAATGTGAAATGTCTGGGTCTGGGCGGATCTGACTATGAATGGGTCTGGGTATGAGTGGGGCCTGGGTATGAACGAGTCTGAGTGTGGGTGAACACACACATGTATATACGCATACATGAGTACACATATGTATATCAGAACAAGTTCGGATAGCGTGACTGCGCATGAATGGGTCTGCGTGTGTCTTAGTGCGCAACTGAGACTGAGCTTCACTAAGAAAAGTAAAGTATGAGCACGGGTGGGTTCGACTGTCGACTGCGCGTAGGTATGATACTAGAGTCTGAGTACGAGTGTCCCTGACTAGGATCTGATTTCATTCTGAATGATAATAACAATTATGAGAATGGGCATTCATGGATGCGGATGAACCTGCGTATGAATGGATCTTCACATGAATGACTCTTCATACTTGTTGGGCTACATGGGTTAGTCTGGCTCTGAGTGTGTCTGAAGGAGTGAACTGGGGGCTGAATGAGACTGGGTGTCTTCCGAACATGGATGAGCCTGAACTTGGGTAGGAGCATTTATGATTGAGTATTGGTGGCCATGACGTTGGGTGGGTTTGAGTGTGCGTGGGTCTGATGTTGCACGTCTGAAAACTGCGAACCCTGGTCTGGGTCAGTGTGGCTCAACAGGAGTGCGTCTGAATATAGGTAACTGAGTAATGGGTGAATGTGAGCAGGAATTGCTCATGTATGGTATGATTGGAGGGCTAGAATGGCCGAGTTTGAATTCGAATGTAAACGCGACCGACTTTCATTATCAGTGGCTGAGTATGAGTGTGTCGGAACGTGAGTGAGTGTGAATGAGTGACTGGGTATGCATGCCTCTGAGCGGGGGTGAGTCTGAATATGAGCGAGTCCGGTTATGATGCTAAGCGGGCGCTCTACCTGAGACCCTCCCTGAGCTGGGCGCGAACGGGCCTGTGGAATACCCTTGGTCGACATCCTCTTTGGAGGCCCAGGTGCGGTGTTTGCTACCTCGCGGGCCAAATGAAGCTGTGATACAGTGGAGGCCCGTCCACAAGAAACCTTCCACAAGAACCCCAATCCTGAGACCCCAGGACGCCTATGGATGTTTGGCGTGGGAACGTCACGGCTTCCATCGCAAAACCATCGACACCCAAGAAACCCAGGGCACCCTGGAGGCAAGCAGGGTGTCTCTTGGCTTGGGCCCCCACTGTAAGAGACACGCCTACTCCACCCAAAATCGACGGCCCACCTGAGAGGTGCCACGCACTGACACGCCAACGGGTCCGTGGGCCTGTCCTGGTCGATGTCGGGGATCTTCTGATCCGGGTCAATCCAGACCCGGGCCAGCAGGAAACCAAAAAACTGAAATGCAGGGAACAAAACTGCAACGCAGGTCTTCGCAAACCCGGGTCAACCAACATGCGCGGCCGCCTCGCGGCCACGAGCGGCTCGCTAACCCGGGTCAGCCAGAGGGGGTCTTCGCATGATCTTGCAGGATCCGGTGCCCTGGCTGACCCCCGTTTGCATTGACCCCCGTCTCGAGGCTCCCGACGACGTCCACTTGGGAGGTCTGGGTGTGACGCCTGCTGCCTCGTGATGATCATGAGGCCGCGGAAAATCCCACACCTGCCCGCCTTCCCAGCCGAGCGCTCTACCCAAGAAGTCAGCGCGAACGGGCCCATGGAATACCCTGGAGGAGGAGGAGGAGGAGGAGGAGGAGGAGGAGGAGGAGGAGGAGGAGGAGGAGGAGGAGGAGGGGGAGGAGGAGGGGGAGGAGGAGGAGGAGGAGGAGGAGGAGGGGGAGGAAGGAGGAGGGGGACAGGAGCTAGGCTAGGTGCGCTCGCGTCATCTCTGACATCCTACCCCTCCCTCCCATCCCTTACCATGGCGCAGATCCCCTCTCTACTCGCTCAGTCGGATGTCGAGCAGGGCAATGATGGGTACGCGATGCATCGTAGATCACTGCATGGCATGGCGTAGAAGAGCACCGCAGAGCGTAGTATCAACCTAGCATTGCAGTGCATGCCGTGGCATGGCACGGGAAATGACACCAGCGCTGCAGCGGGAGCAGGAGTCGAAACGAGCGGAAGCGCGGAAATGAGGCCAGAGCTGCAGCGGGAGCACGATTCGGAACGAGCGGAAGCACGGAAATGAGGCCAGCGCTGCAGCGGGAGCACGAATTGGAGCGAGCGGGGCCCGAAAATGAGGCCGGCGCCTCAGCGAGAGCAGCATTTTGAAACAAATGCAGGCGAAAACCCAACTCCGGGGGAACCTGTGTGTAACAAAAACAGTACGCGGGGGGGGGGGGGTCAGGACCAATCCCAGACCCCCGTCACAGCGGGAAGAGGAGAGTAAGTATGTTTCATATGAATAATTGTGGAGGGGAGGAGGAGGAGGAGGAGGAGGAGGAGGAGGAGGAGGAGGAGGAGGAGGAGGAGTGCAAGAGGAGGAGGAGGAGAGGAGGAGTGAGGAGAGAGGAGGAGGAGTAGGAGGAGGAGGAGGGAGAGTAGGGGAGGAGGAGGAGGAGGAGGGGGAGGATGAGGAGGAGGATGAGGAGGATGAGGAGGATGATGAGGAGGAGGAGGAGGAACACCCTGGGTCGGCAGCCCCCTCCGGAGGTCCGGGTGCGATGCCTGGCCGCCTCGCGGTGCTCATGAGACCGTGAGGAGAGACGGGTCCGCCCTCCCCCGCATGCGGGCGCTCGGCCTGGCCCGCCTCACCACGCGGAGCGCGAGCGGGCCCCCGTGACCGCTCCTGCACGGCCTGCCCCCCGGAGGCGACCCGAGTGCGATGCCCGCAACCTCCCGGCGGTTATGGGGCTCTGGACAGGGCCGCGGCTGCCTCTGCTGCGCGGCGGTCCTGCCTGGGAGTTCCCTCGCTGCTGAGGGCACGGACGGGGCGGCGAGCACCCCTCTCCTCCTCCTCCTCCTCCTCCTCCTCCTCTCTTCTTCATTATGACCTCCTCCTCCTCCTCCTCCTCCTCCTCCTCCTCCTCCTCTCCTCCCCCTCCTCCTCCTCCTCCTCCTCCTGTCTCCTCCTCCTGCCCTCCGATCCCCTCCTCTCCTCCTCTCCTCCTCATCATCCTGCGTCCTCCTCCTCCTCGCATCACCTCCTTCCTCCTCCTCTCCTCGTCCTCTATCCTCCTCTTCCTCCTCCTCTCCTCCTCACCCTCCTCCTCCTCCTCCTCCTCCTCCTCCTCCTCCTCCTTCGCCTCCTCCTCCTCTACCGTAGCAAAGGGGGGGTTGAGAATCAGCTCACGTAGCTGACTTTCCCGGCGCCCGAGGAATGGGCCTCTCGGTGCGAAACCAGCTGCATGCAGCAGATTTCGTAACCCTCCCCTTTCCCTCTCCCCCCCTTTCGTTCGGCCCGATCCTCCCACAGGCGGGGTTTGGACGAAACGTGAAAGATAGTCATTGAAATGCTCGAAAACTGTCAAAAAGGATCAACAAATCATCCCCAGACTGTTTTTTCTTCCCTGCTTTCGAGTCTTCCTCTTGCCTGGAGAGCCCGGCGGCCGCTCCAAAGAGTCGAAAAAGATCAACAAAATCATCCCCGGACTGGTGTTTCTTCCCTGCTTTCGAGTCTTCCTCTTGCCTGGAGGGCCCGGCGGCCGCTCTCCGCCGGAGCCGTCTCTCGGGGCGGCGCCAAGCGTGCCCGCGCCCGCGGGGCCTGCCTCGGCCGCGGGCGTGCAGGGGCTTGTCCAGCGGGTGAGGGGCGAAGAAGGCCGTGATGGGCCTGTTTGCCACCACCGCCACCAGAAGTTGGAGGGGGGAGGAGGAGGAGGAGGAGGAGGAGGAGGAGGAGGAGGAGGAGGAGGAGGAGGAGGAGGAGGAGGAGGAGGAGGAGGAGGAGTTCAGGAGGGAGGAGGAGGAGGAGGGGAGCGAGGAGGGCCGACGAGTGAGAGGAGGCGGAGGAGGAGGAGGAGGAGGAGGAGAGGAGGAGGAGGAGGAGGAGAGGAGGAGGAGGGAGAGGAGGAGGAGGAGGAGGAGGAGGAGGAGAGAGGAGGAGGAGGAGGCGGAGGAGGCGGAGGAGGCGGAGGAGGAGGAGGAGGAGGAGGAGGAGGAGGAGGAGGAGGAGGCGGAGGAGGCGGAGGAGGAGGAGGAGAAGGAGGAGGAGGACCCCCTCCCCCTCCAACTTACGTATGGTGGTGGTGGTGGTGGAAAACAGGCCCATCAAACTGTGACGTAAACTTTTCCGCCATCGGGGGCACCTGTCCCAGCGCGGCTGGGACGTTTATGCTCCTACTACGGTGGAAGGTGGGGGTATAAATCTCCTGCCGCCCTGCGACAGGTGCCCCCGATGGCGGAAACATGTACGTATGCTGTACCGTCCACGTCGCGATGACAGCATAATCATAATAATCACAACAAGAAGGAACAGCGTCGGAACCATGAACTTTCGCAAGTGCCAGCGCCGATCCAAGAAGTCCGCGCGCGAACCTCCGAACATGGATGCTTATGCGGCTTTCCTTCGGGGTGGACAAGACCCCCTTGAGCAAAAAACACCCTTTAGGGAAACCGACCCGGGGCCAGACCCAGCGCGAGCAGGCCCAGAAATATTGCGGCCGCAGCACCATCTTGAAGGCTGAGAAAAGGGCAATTCCCTGCTCGACTCTGCAGGGTGGGGAATCCTGCCAACCTCCGCACCCTGCTCCAACAACTCCACGCGGGCCTCTTAACATCTATGCGTATGTGGGGAGCAACTAACGACATAGACATAAAAGCTCGGAAATCCGAGCGGATTTATCGGATCGGCGCTGGGGCCCCCTGGCGGCGCCCCCGGCGCCGCCCCTGGCGCGCTCCGCTCGCCAGGAAGGGGAGGTCCAGCGCCGATCCGAACAATCCGCGCGGATCTCCGAGTTTCTATGTCTATGTCTTAATCTAGAACTTCGCTGGTCCAGCGCCAATCCGTGAGGTCTGCGCGGACCGCCGAGCTTTCATGTCCATGCCATTGCTTCTTTCCCTGGCAGGTTTATGTCGGGCCTGTCCCCCTACAGGGGGATTTTCGACGAAAAATAAAAAATATGTCAAAATAATCCAAAAATAGCCTGGGGACTATTTTTTGAGCATTTGTTGACCTTTTAGAAATATTTTGGGGGTCTGTTCTATTTTTCGTCGAAAATCCCCCTGTAGGAGGACACGCCCGACATAATGGTAGGTGTGTGGTTCTCCTTCTTCGAGACGGGGTCGGCGCTGGGTCCCTGCCTTCCGCGTGGCCCGCCCGACCTCGAATGCTCGCGGCCCCTCTGGCAGCGCGGATCGCCCGTCAGCGACCGAGAGTCCCGGCCGCCGGCGGCGCTCGCCCTCGAGCGCCCGCGCTGGGGTCGCCTCCTCGTCGATGCGGCACGGTTTTCCTCAGAGCGCCCCACCCTCCACGGGAAAAGGAGGAGGAGGAGGAGGAGGAGGAGGAGGAGGAGGAGGAGGAGGAGGAGGAGGAGATAAGAGGAGGAGGAGGAGGAGGAGGAGGAGGAGGAGGAGGAGGAGGAGGAGGAGGGAGGAGGAGGAGGAGGAGGAGGGGGAGGAGGAGGAGAAGAGAGAGGAGGAGGAGGAGGAGGATTAGGAGGAGGGGGAACAGCGATCGGGAATCAGGGGCAGAGCCCGCCCCTGCCGAACGAGCGTCGATGCGGCACGAAGCTGCGCCGTGCGCCAGTGCTTCCGGGCCCCGCTCCTGCCCGCCTCCAGGCGCCTGGCGAAGGCCTGCTGCAGGCGGTTCTGGAGCCGCATGAGCGCCGTCTTGCGCTCGGCCAGCTCCGCCTCCGAGCCCCCGTTGTCGCCCCTCGCGGGACGAGGAGGGGGGAGGAGGGGAACGAAAAATGACATAAACATAAAAACTCGGAGGTCCGCGCGGATTTCTCGGATCCGCGCTGAACCCCCTGGCGGCGCCCCGGCGCCGCCCCTGGCGCGCTCCGCGCGCCGGGGAGGGGGGTCCAGCGGCGATCCGAGAAATCCGCGCGGACCTCCGAGTTTTTATATTTATGTCATTCTTCGTTCCCCTAGGGAGGGGGGGAAGGACTCGGAGTACCATGTTTTTGAGCTCAGCAGCTCTCCTCCACCGAATGCAGGAGGTCTGACGGCGGTGGGGGGCATCAGCATGCTAGAGTGAAATGAATCCGAGCTGGCCATCGCTCGGACGTCCATTCCCTGTGTTTTTTTTCGGTTTTGTGCGTGGTTTTCCGCCAAATGATCAAGGATCGCCGAAGGAAGAATGCACACGTCCGAGCGATGCCAAGCGAGTCGCCTGATGACTCGCACGCCAGCGCGCTGGGCGCAAGCCGGGGCCTGCGCGTCGTATGAGACAGGGCGGCAGGCGACTGTTGGGCCTGCTCTAGAACGGGAACGCACCGCAGGTGCATCTACCCTGTCCCCGACCTTTCACGGTGCCGAGCGCAACGGCCGCGTCGTCTATAGACGCATCCACCCCGAATATATCGCGACGGCACCCCGTGTGTCTATAAACGGTTGTGGAGACTAGAAAAAAACGCTGTAAACAGTTTTGGCGCTCCGCGCGGATTTCTTGGATCCGCGCTGGACCCTCCCTGGCGCGCGGAAGGCGCCAGGGGCGGCGCCGGAGGCGCCGCCGGGGGGGCCCAGCGCGGATCCACGAAATCCGCGCGGAGCGCCAACAGTGTATGTTTGTGGCGTCTTTGTTTCCTTCGAAGAACGTGAGAGCGGCATCTGGCACATGGCATACTCGCCATCGCTCGGACGTCCATTTCCTATGTTTTTTTCGGTTTCGTGCGTGGTTTTTTTCGCCAAATGATCAAGGATGCTCCTCGATGGTCCTCGCCGGAAGAAAAATGCACACGTCGGAGCGATGCCAAGCATAGGCCCCAGATCTTGATCTTCTGCAAGCAGGTCGGCCCTGCTCTGCAGGCGAGGGCAGCCTGCGAGGTCTTGGCGGCGCGCCCGCGGGGGTGGCGCGAGGGGGCCGGCCTTCCAAGAAGAAGGCGAGGGGGGGGCTTCTCAGGAGGAGGAGGAGGAGGAGGAGGAGGAGGAGGAGGAGGAGGAGGAGGAGGAGGAGGAAGGAGGAAGGCGGAGGAGGCGGGGGCGGAGGCGGAGGAGGCTGAGGAGGGAGGAGGCGGAGGAGGAGGAGGAGGAGGAGGAGGAGGAGGCAGGAGGAGGAGAGGGGAGGAGGAAGGAAGGGATGGCGGAGGAGGAGGAGGAGCCTGCTTCGAGGCCGCGGGGGCTCCGCACTCCGAGGGGGCCGCCCAGGACGCCGGGAGGGCTTCCGAGAGGGCCACGGCCCCCTCTGCCTCGGGAAGGGGGGCCCCCACCTCTCGCCTCCTCAGACGGCCGCCCCTCCTCGCGCAGGCCCGGTGCGCAGAGGATAGGGAACCCACAAAGGACGTACGCGCCCAACTATGTACATGAACACGGCCCCTTGACTCGCGAGACCGGCCGGGTGATACGAGTGATGCGAAATCGCGAAAACAGCGAGTACGTCCTTCTTTCGCTCCTGAGAGGAGGGCGACGACGAGGACGAAGACGAGCGCGGCGGCGGCGGCGAGGAGATGACGCAGCGGTCGCCGCGGCAGGTCGAGGGTGCCTCGGGATGCCCCAGGCACCGGAAGCAGTTGAGGGGGCCCGGGGACACACAAATCAATATACACAAATCCAGGGATTCCCCGTATGCTCTTACATTTTCTGGATTTTCGTCTCCCCCCCCCCACCCACCCCCACCTCCCGTATGTTCCCATAGTTCCCTGGGGATCGACGATCTTTTGTGTCTGTGTGTTTTTTGTCCCTCCGGAGCAGTCCCGAGCGCCCTGGGGCGATTCGCTCGCGGCGCTCCCGTGACACCCTGCGGCGTCAGCGCCTCCAGGGATCTCCAGGAGCCGGCGTGCCTGGATGATGCAGCGGGCGCCGCGGCATCCCTTGGGGCCGGTGCCAGCTAATCTGGTCCCTCCTGAGGAGGGGGGACGGGGGGAGCTGAAATGGGGGGACTGGCCAGAGGGGGGAGAAATTACCAATGACCTGGGATCGACGATACAGCAGGAGCTCGACCACAAGAAACCCAACCCTGAGACCCCAGGACGTCCTTTGAATTTTGGTGTGGGAACGTCCCGCCTTCCATGGCAAAACCACCGAAACCCAAGACAGCCAGGGCACCCTGGAGACACGCAGGGTGTTACTTGGCATGGGTTTCTACGGTGCACCGCTGACGGATCCACGATAGGCTCCCGATAGGGATACCTCGCGCCCCTGACTGGCGCCCCTGACGGAGAGGGAAGAATGCAGCGCTACCTTCGGGGCGAACGAGAAGGGGGAGATGGCCAAAGAGGTGCAATCAAAGCCCACACCTACTGATAGCAGGCCACCCTAACTCTGGAGCGGTGCTATAGAGAGAGAGGGAGAGAGAGAGAGAGAGAGGGAGAGTGAGATAGAGAGAGAAAGAGAGAGCTCTGAGACGCGCTGGGCACCAGGCCGCCCAGCGAGCAAAAGAGCGCAACATATGAGGGAGCTGTGTGCCCTCGCTTTGAAAACTGGCAATCGAATCAGCTGTGGCAGCTTGTTTCCCCGGCGCCTCGCAGCGCTAGAGGCGCCACTGCTTTTACGTCGTGCATGTCCTTCTACAGGCGGAGCGTGGACGGAAAATACAAAATTGTCAAAACATGTTCGAACATAGTCAGACATAGCCAAACATCGTGCCCAGACGTTCTTCTCTTTTGTGTAAAAAACCATGCTTCAATATCCCTCCTCTCGAGGGACATGCCCGACTTAACACTAGATCGAGGCGGGCGCCCGGCGGCGGGGACGAGACCAACTGCGTGTGGCAGATTCCGCCCCCCCTCCCCCTCCTCCTCCTCCTCCTCCTCCTCCTCCTCCTCCTCCTCCTCCTTGCGAGTGCGTTTTTCTCCCCACGTGGACCCGCCGTGATCTCGACTCCCTCCCCAGGCACATTGTCATCCCGAGTAGCTTTTTGAGGGTCCGAGGGCCTGGCAAGGGCCCCAGAAGGCCGAAGATACGTAGAACACCTCCCGCCGTGCTTTTCCACGGCAGTAGCAAGACATTGCAGGACCTTCCAGACAAATGTAGAAGAGGGCTTCGCCGAAAATGTATGATACTAGCCGGAATGGGGGGTTCTGGGGCCGCCGCTCCTGCAACTGCGCGTATAGCCGGCTTTTAGCGGACCGCTGCCCAGCCTGCGGGGCAACGTGAGAGGGGGACCGGCCCGAGGGGGGAACTGCTGGGCCTGGAGTAGGCGATGCGCGGGACGCATGTAAAAGACATGCTGCTAGCACTGTGTGCCCCTGTTGGAGACGCACGCCCGAACCAGACATGTGGTGCAGCATCTTGTAGTGTACGTATGCTCCCCCGAACACTGTGGCCAGAAATGAAGGGGCCCCAGGACACACAAAAAAATACACAAATAAAAGGATTCCCCATATTTCCCTATATTTTCTGGGTTTTGGCTTCCCCCCCACTTCCCATCTTTTCCCATACTTTCTTGGGGAATCGTCGGTTCATTGTGTCTGTGTGTTTTTTCCCTCCTGATTGTAGTGTATGGTCCCCCGAACACTGTGGCCAGAAAGCGCCCGCCACGGAGCCCACGCTATGAGTTTTTCAGAGCCTGGGCGTCTCCATTGCGCGGCCGACGCGCACATCGTGTAAGTTGAAGAGGCCCCAGGACACACAAAGAAATACACACACAAATAAAATACTCCCCATATTTTCATATATTTTCTGGGTTTCTGGCTTCCCCCCGCTTCCCATAGTTTCCCATCTTTTCTGGGGAATCGAGGATTAATTGTGTCTGTGTGTTTTTCCTCTCCTGAGCGTCTCCCTTGCGTGGCCGACGCGCACATCGTGTAAGTATATGGTTGGGAGGCGCTGAGTGCCTCGCCGGCAGATCGGCGAAAGGCCCCCGAGGAGAGCAAATCCGCACGCCCCTGGGCGGGATCGGCCATCGGGCCCCTCTCGGCGATGCCCTCAGCGAGTGGGGATCGGTGCCTGGGCCCCGAGCCAGTCCCCCCCCCGCCGCGCTGCCCCTCCGCGGAGGATCTCTGGCTTCCGAACCACAGCTCGGGCCTCCGGCTGCCGTTTGCAACGATCCGGGCGCTCCCGGAATGCGCTCGACGAGGCGCAGCTGATGACAACCACCCTGGGCTTATGTCGGGCGTGTCCCCCTACAGGGGGATTTTCGACGAGAAATAAAATTATCCCGGCAAAGCAACCTAACAGCGATGTGTAGAAGCATATCTGAAAGCATTCCCATTAAGATTCAGATGAAAATCCAGTTGTCGAATTCTGCTGTTCTCGCAGTCGTAGTCGCATTCGCGATGACAGTCGCAGCGGCAACGGCAGTCGCAGTCACAGCCTCAGCCTCAGCCTGCCTCCTCCTCCTCCTCCTCTTTCTCCTGCTCCTCCTCCTCCTCCTCCTCCTCTTCCTCCTGCTCGTCTTCGTTCTCGTCCTCCTTTTTCTTCCCCCCACCCCCCCTCCCCCCCCATCGTCTTGCTGTCCTCCTCTCCTGGTGCTCTCTCCTCCCCTCTCCGCTCCTCCTCCTCCTCCCCTCCTCCTCCTCCTCCCCTTCCTGGTGGTCCTCGTTCTCCTCCTCCTGGTGCTCTCCCCCCCCCTCCTCCTCCTCGTCTCCTCTCCTTCTCCTCCTCTCCCCTCGTCCTCCTCCCCTCTTCCTCTCGCCTCCTCTCCTCCTCTCTTACTGGTAGTCCTTCCCCCTCCCCTCCTCCTCCTCCTCCTCCTCTTCCTGGTCGTCCTCGTTCTCGTCCTCCTCGTCTTGCTCGTCCTCCTCCTCCTGGTGTTCTCTCCTCCTCGTCCTCCTCCTCCTCCTCCTCCTCCTCCTCCTCCTCCTCCTCCTCCTCCTCCTCCTCCTCCTCCTCCTGGTACTCCTCCCCCTCCCCTCCTCCTCCTCCTCCTCTTCCTGGTCGTCCTCCTCCTCCTGGTCGTCCTCCTCCTCCTGCTCGTCCTCCTCCTCCTCCTGCTCGTCCCTCCTCCTCCTCGCCTCATGGTACTTCCTCCCCTTCATTCTCCCTCCTCCTCCTCCTCCTCCTCCTCTTCCTGGTCGTCCTCCTCCCCCTGGTCGTCCTCCTCCTCCTGCTCGTCCTCCTCCTCCTCCTCCTGCTCGTCCTTCTTCTCCTGCTCCTCCTGCTCCTCGTCCTGCTCCTGCTCGTCCTCGTCCTCCTGGTCTTGCTCGTCCTCCTCCTCGTCGTGCTCTTGCCCCTACTGAAAATGTGGCCCAGGAGTGGGAGTTCTGGGAAGTCGAAGAGCACGAAGTTGCCTACAGTGGGCTACGGGCATTCAAAATGTGGCCCGGGAATGGAGTTCTGGGAACTCGAAGAGCACGAAGTGGCCTACAGTGGGCTCCGGGCATTCAAAATGTGGCCCGGGAATGGAGTTCTGGGAAGTCGAAGACCAGGAAGTGGCCTACGGTTGGCTCCGGGCATCCAAAATGTGGCCCGGGAATGGAGTTCTGGGAAATAGAAGAGCACGAAGTGTGTGACTGTTGCATCCGGTTATTCTAAATGTGGCCCGGGAATGGCGTTCTGGGATGTCGAAGAGCACGAAGTGTGTGACTGTTGCATCCGGTTATTCAGAATGTGGCCCGGGAATAGCGTTCTGGGATCTCGAAGAGCACTTTGTGTGTGACTGTTGCATCCGGGTATTCAGAATGTGGCCTGGGAATGGAGTTCTGGGAAGTCGAAAAGCACGAAGTGTGTGACTGTTGGTGAAAAACGAGCCCGGCACCCTGCCGCCCGGCAACTCCCCAACACCTGCCCGGACCCCCCTGTGGAGTGATCTGTGAGCTCTTTTGAGTCAACTAGAAACCTATCAGTCTTCGCTGTTAGGTAAAATACTCCAAAAATGCACCAAAAAGGTCAACACAAATATTAAAAAATAGTCCCCAGACTATTTTGTCGAAAATCCCCCTGTAGGGGGGACAGGCCCGACTTAACCCTGGGCCCCGCAAACCTCCGAGAACTCCGGAACACCTCCCGAGCCCTCTCGCCCGCCCCGGGGGCGAGCGGGCCGCCCTCGGCCAGCGCCCTGAGCTAATAATCCCCCCCGGACGCTGCCCCTGCAGGTGTGCCCTTGCCGGCTGCTCGCCATCGCTCGGACGTCCATTCCCTGTGTTTTTGTTGGTTTCGTGCGTGTTTTTTCGCCAAATGATCAAGGATGCTCCTCGATGGTCCTCGCCGAAGGAAAAATTCACACGTCCGAGCGATGCCAAGCCCAAGGCCCGCTCGCTTCGTGGCCGACGACAGCGTGCGCTGGCCGGGCTCCGAGCCTCGGAGGCCAGCCGGGCGAGGGCCCCGGGATCTCCCGCACCGCCGCGGAGACGTGCTCGCGGTCGGGCTCGAAGGCGTCCTCCAGCCCAGGGCACTGCAGGTACCTGTCGGGTCGGCCGGAAGGGCGGGCTGGCGGAGGCGACGATGGAGACGAACAGCCCAGGGGGGCGAAATACACGTAATGCGGGATGACGATTAATAAAACAAATGGGAGAGAACGATTCTAAAAATAGTCTTCTGCTATTTCTGCATAATTTTCTGCCTGGAGGAGAACGATAAAAAAATAGTTTTCCAGCCCGCGGCCGGTTTTTTCTAATCGCCATCCTGGGCGCCGCCGCGTGAACACGACCCCCGGTCATTTATTAATCGTCATCCTCCATTAGCCCAGGGGGGCAAAATGCACGCATCCGGGGGCGCCGATGGTGCGGGTCTTCGACGAGGCTTCGGGATGCGTGTGGTATTTCCACTCGCCCCTGGGCTGTTTGACCCTCTCTCGTGGCCTCCGAGGATCAGCGAATCCCAGGCCCCCTCTCTTCGCGAAGAGAATAGCAACATGATTTTCTGCCATTTTCGGACTCCTGAGGCCCTCACTGGTCCCTGGGACCGTCAAACAACTACTTCTACTTGGGATGCAACACCAGTGCTGTGGAAATTGTCAGGACGAGAGGATCAGATCTCTGCCGACATAGGGTGTTTTCCCTCCCGTCCTTTTTTTCTTCGTTCGGCCTCTGGAGCCCGTCTTCGAGCCCTGGGACCGTTCCAGAGGCGCAGAGCCTCTCCAAGTTTTTGTCTGTTTTTGCTTTTGCTTCTGCTCACCTGCAGCCCCCGAGTCTGCAGGGCTCGCGACCCCTGCTCACGCGAGCCTCCCGGAGCCTCGGTAGATCGAGGAGGGTTCCCGGCAGCGGGGCCGCGTCCAGGTGCCCGCGGCAGGCTTCGCCGTCTTCCCTCCCCCCTCCCCGCACTGCCGACGCATCGCTGGTGTTCGAGCGTTGGCAGAACTGGGTTTAGTGGAACCTGGTTTAGCGATTTGTACTGGGGGCGCCCCCCCGTCCCATTTCCACTAACCGGAACTGCCGTCACCCAAAAAACACCAGTTACGGCAAACCTGGTTTAGTGAATCTGGCCAATTGAAGGGCCCCAGGGCCCTACCACTAACGGGGTCCCCTTACCTGGGGTCCTGGCTTTACCCGAGGTGTGCCTGCGGCGTCGGGGCGGAGAAGAACGGGCGCCAGAGCCCAAGCGACATCCGACGACCTGCCCCGCGCGGCTCCATCCCCGGGGCCGGCCTTGGGCCCTGGAGCCGTTCCTGAGGGCCCCAGGGCCTCATAGCGGGGTGCTGGTAGAAGTGCCCCTGGGCCAGGGTGCCCCCCAGGATGCTCGAGGTAGCCACCCCTCACGAGGCCCAGAGGGCCCCAGGGGCTTCAACAGGGAGCGGAAGGCTGGGGCCACCCCAAGGGCCAGGGGCACCTCTGGCAGCATCCGAGGTAGAGGGCCCTGGGCCGACATCGATGGCGGAAAACACCTAAAAACACACGACCGATTCCGGGAGCCGTGGACCCCCAAATGCCGTCATCTCCTGTGGGCGCACTGGCTGCTTCCGCCGGCCTTCCGCCACGGCCTTCCGCCGGCGGAGCTGCCCTCGTTTTGGAGGCCTTGGAATGGGCACCAACACCAAAACAGGGGGCTGCCTCCACAGGGGGGAGACGATCCTGGAAGTCGGTGTTGGTGGTAATATTCCGGTCACCTCGGAAGCCAGAATCTTACCACCATCACCGAGATCGGGATCTTGTTCCCTCGGTGGAGGCACACCGCCGATCTTGGTGTTGGTGTCAACCTCTGGGCCTGCGAGATCGTTTTGCTGTTGTCGCCCTCCCGCCCAGGACGAGGCGGCAGCTCCTTCGACCCTCGGCGGCGAGGCCCTTCCTGGAAAGCCCCACGTCTTGTCGGGGGCCTGCTGCTCGCCATCGCTCGGGCGTCCATGCCCTGTGTTTTTGTTCGGTTTCGTGCGTGGTTTTTCGCCAAATGATCAAGGATGCTCCTCGATGGTCCTCGCCGAAGGAAAAATGCACACGTCCGAGCGATGCCAAGTGCTGACCAGGCTCCAGATCGCGCCGCGCCGCCGATGCGTCGGCGGCGCAGCGCGATCCTGGGACCCCGTCTGCTGCAGCTCCACTATTTGGCGGCGCGCACAGGAAGGTAGGGGGAGGAGGGAGGGTTTCCAAGAAGGAGGCTGCTTCTTAGGAAGCGCCAGCCCTACATCCACAGACAAGGTCCGCGCCTTCTATGGAGGAACAAGGAAGGGCATAAACTTAAACTTTTGGTGGAGCGCCCGAAGTTTATGTTTAAGGTGTTTTTCTTCTTCGATTGGAAGGAGGCTGCTTCTTAGAAGGCGCCGGTCCTACATCTCCAGACAAGGCCCGCACCTTCTGAGAAGCAGGGGTGCTTCCTAGAAGCCTTCCCCCCCGCTACGCCTCCCTCTGAGAGTGGCTGGCCTATATGCGGGGGCCGCCACTTCCTCTCGAGGAAGCGCCCCACTTCCTTGAGGAAACTGGACCCCAAGAACACTCCAGTAGGGCTCGACCAAAACAGTACTTTTCGTTGCTGGTTCGTTTTCGTTTTCCTTCGCTTGGACCTTGTTCCGCCCTCGCTGCGAAACGAAGTCAAAGCGAGAACGGTCCACGAAATCGCCAAAACACCGTTCAGGTCGAGCCCTGCACTCCAGACCCCGAAACTCCCGACCCCTTTTGAGCAGGGACCGACCGTCCCGGCATTCCTATAGTCCTATCACGAGATGTTCTTAGAACCCAGAAATGTTCTAAGAACAAAACAATGTTCTTAGAACATAAACCCAATGTGTTAAAACAAGGCAATATCAACCAGAAATGTTCTAAGAACATTTCGTGGAAACCACAAAAGGTTCTTAGAACATTGTTTGGTAGGGCTATAGGCGAGCCATGACGCTTCGCCACTGCTTGACCCTTTCTTTCCCAGGGCCGGCTTCTCATCCCGAGTCGCTTCTGAACGGGCCTGGGGCCCGGCCAGGGCCCCGGGATGCCGCAAGCTGCCGCAGACCTCCTGTCGCGGTGTCTTCACGACGCGAGCAGCTCGGAGTTTCCAGCACGAGCTGGTGACCCCCCCCCAGTGCCCTGACCTTCGAGGATGGCTCAAAAATAGCACGCGACTTAAAATCCTATCACAGAGCTCTTCTACGTCTTGGTTTTAGGCTGTTTCGTTTCGTTTTTTAGGTTTTTAGGCCTCCCGTGCTTAAAAATAGCTCTGTGGAAGGTCAGGGTGGTGGCGTGACCCCCCCCTGGCACCGCCCGAATTTGGGGAGGCCGTGGGGGTGCCAGAGCACGCGCCGGGCGACGTCGGCGTCCGCCTCCTCGGGGCTGTCGCGCGGCTGCCCGGAGAAGGTGTGGGAGACCCCGAGCAGCTCGACCTGTGCCACGGGTGCGGGCGCTCCGCCCCCGCACATGCTCGCGCCGCAGCCACACTGAAGGGGCCCCAGGACACACACAAATAAATACACACACACACATAAAAAAGATCCCCCATATTTTCCCACATTTTCCGGGTTTCTGTCTTCCCTCCCACTGCCCATAGTTTCCCTATTTTTCTGGGGGATCGACGATTCATTGTGTCTGTGTGTGTTTTTTTGCCTCCTGACAAACCTCACGACGGGACATCTTCTGGCCGTGCTCGGCCCTCGTGCGCCCTCGCCGGGCCCCCTGGCCCGGGACCGTCAAGAACGGCTCGGGTCGAAGAGCCGGCTCCAGGAAAGGGGGTCGGGACTTCCGGGGGGCCCCGCATGGAAATCATCAGGACATCGCGTGTCATCATGCGTCTGCAGCAGCGGCAGCAACGGCAAGCGGCATCTTGTCCTTCCCTCTTCCCTCGAGCCACAGGGGGGGAGCGACCGCTACCGCTATGCCCTTCCCTCGCCGCCACGGCTGAATTCGCATCGAAATGCGGGTCAGAGCGCGCCCTGGGAGAGGTCCGCGGAATCGTGGGATCGGTACATGTTTGCTTCCCTGCATCGGCAGCTCCAGACCCCCTCGACTTGTGCAGACATCACGGCTGGAGGTCTTGCCCACTATCGGCCGTGTCCCAGGACTGTCAGCAAACACGACTCGGGATGGAAACCTGGTCCCCGGGAAGGGGTCGAGATCGCCGGGGATCCACATAGTGGACCGTGCGACGTCCGGGGTCGGGATCTCCTCTGCCAGCCCAGGTCTCCGACGATACACTGGAGGCCCGACCACACGAAACCTTCCACTAGAAACCCAGCCCTGAGACCCCAGGGCGTCCATTGCTTTTTGGCGTGGGAACGTCACGGCTTCCATCGCAAAACCATCGAAACCCAAGGAACCCAGGGCACCCTGGAGGCAAGCATTAAATCGGGCGTGTC